TGATGCTGTCTGCGCTGCTGCGTGAGATTATGCCAGAAATGACTCGTCTGGCTTTCCTTGAGGCGCCAGTGAGTGTAGGGCCACAACAGTCACTGGTGTGGAATACTTTTTACTCCTCGCGAAGACCCGAGGCGACGGCGTGGTATCCTCAGTACCATATACATGCTGCTTCTTCACGCTTTCGTTTCCAGGGAAGGAAAACAGGCTCCTGCTTCTGAAGAATTCAGATTTCTTCATGATGGAGGAGGAACATTTTGTTGATGCCGGAGCTTCAAAGACCATGCCAGCAGCGGCCAGGCTCGCTTCAGACGGGGGTTGCTTGGAATGCGCGAGTTGGTGGCGGCGGCGGCGGAACGCGCAGGCGGCGGGTTTGTCCCCGCGGGGAGGCGAGGGCAGCAATAGCCGTCCCCCGCACGCGTGAGAGTCGGCGGAAAGCGCACGGCGGTGGGTAACTGTTGGCGCGTCCCCGCGTCGACGGGAGGCGGAACTTCCGCCGCGAGGAGCGGACGCGGCGGGGGTGGCGCGGGGAGGTTGCGCGGTGGAGCTGCCTGAGAGCACCGGCAGACGATTCAGCGCAAACGATGCGGACGTGTCCATCCAATCGTCAAACTCCCATTCCTGCTGCTGCTCTTCTATCCAGTGTGGCGGATAGAAATCGCGAAGCTCCATGACTGAATGCATCGTGGTGGTTCGCGGAGTTGTAGGGGAGTAACGCTGGGAGCGGCTGGCCCTTACGTGATGGCACATCCCGTCACCAACTAGGAGGTAATATCGCTAAACCTAAAACGCAAAAGCAGTAGAATCTGGTCACTGGGTGAGATGCAGCGCACTGGCGAGACGCATCACTTTTGAGATCTCGTGACGAGATGGATGAATGAGAAAGCAGCGATATTCACGCATTGTAATATACAAAAACGATGCACTGCGAAGGCCCCAAGTGAGAATTTCCCTCGCTTCATCCCTGGCCCCTGTCCTCCAGCGATGCGCGCGAACTCGCCAAACGAGAGGGATAGCATGATCTGAACTGAATGCGGCAGAGACGAGTTCGACCCGATGGGCCGGACAAGACGCGATACGCCGCCACTATCACAGCGGAGGACCTCAGGCCGAGTTCGATAAATTTATTTGCTTACTTCACGGAACCTCTGCAGTGTGCGATTGCTAGTGGACGACAGGGGACCTGCCAGCATCATCGCCTTCCACGTCGGATCGATATTGTATGATAGTACACACTGTGCGATTCTGAGCGTTGGAACGAAAATTTACGATTGCAAGATGGGCGAAAATCTACGGCAAAGTACCGTTCACCTAGTAGGATATTCTATGATGGTACTACACTGCTTCATTTACATAAACATCCATGGTGCTGAGCATGAAACGCGAGAAATAATCACGTGAAAGAAATGGCCACGGTGAGAACGACTCTGAGGCACGGCATAACGCGGCTCGAGGTGCTAGATTAGCAGCCAAGAAATGCTGCAGGGACGTGCTGTTCAACATGGCCTAGAACTTGACATGACAGTGGATTACTATCTCCACTCGAGACCCTGATTCGATTGGTGGATAGCAATACGTCACAAGGCAAGAGACGAGAGGATGAAGTACATGTCTTGGAAATTTGAAGTGAGCGGAACCACATGACTACTCACTGCACCGTTTGAGAGATTGCACTGACAACACTGCATCTCATTCGATACTGATATGCCACGTGGAAGGCAGCTCTGAGGAAGCTGAGATAGCCAGCCAAGGCAATCGCCTGGTGGGGTTGTGCAGTGAGCGAGAATCAGGGTGCAATCATGCTTGGTTGGCAAAGGCAGATTAGCTTGGCGAGGGCCTGATTATGGTTACTCTATATTCAACCTTTTCGCCGGAGAATTGGGTCTCATGGCGGGAAAAAACATTGGGAAGATGTGGGTTCGCTATTAGAGGAACCGAGTAAATGAAGTGTAACTTTTTTTGTTTCCTGGAAAATTGTCTTGCACACAGATTTGCACAAACAGAATCAACCGGACATAATAAAACAGCATTCTGTATTTTTACATGAGGACCAGAGGAAATGACATCAAAATAAAACTTGGTTGCATATAAGGCCCAAACGAGGTGAACTAGGACTCAGGTCGGGTTCTTCTAGGTCGCACAATCCATAACTTGATTTATAGTGAGATGATGGGCTAGATTAACTGGCTACACTATCAACATGGTGTACACATTCAGGTTGTCTTTCTACTTTAGGGGTCCACAGATGGATATGTGGCTCTCGAAGTCATCCAACCAACGAGGGTGCGCCGCACGAACGAGCGACGGCAGTCCACCTTTGCACCTTCTGCCCGTTGCCACTTGGCTCTTCCGCCGCAATGTCACTGGTTTTCCAGCTTTCCAGCGAGGTGAAGCACCTTCCACCTGGACGTTTGCCACGTCATCATTCTCGGCCTACTTGTTCCGCTCGGAATGTGCTGCACTGAAAAGGGGTGTAAAATACCTACGTTTTCTATGAAAGCCAGAGCCTTTTAACGTAGTTACGTTCTGGGAGCGTGACTACATCTTGAGCTATGTGTTGGGGGAGTGCTGTCGTCCAATAACCCAAAATAAGGATAGGGTAGTTTAGGGAGTTTTATGGACCCTCTCTTCTGGCATCATCACTTGCTGACGCGGATCTCCTCACAGATCACACACCAACGAACCGCCATGGCTGTCGAGTCTAGGGCGGGAAATTATAGATCCAGTCACAGACACTGGCTCGATATCACGAATGGTCGTCTGGCAATCACGAACGGTCACAAAATCTAGGATCCTATCACGGACGATCACAAAATCTGGAATTCTATCACGGGTAGTCACAATGTTGCCCCACGATCTATCACGTACGGTCATACAATGAAACGCTCCGTGGAAAGTTGAAATTTCACGAGTAACTGTAGAGATTCGGGCAAAGTTATATTGTGCGCGAAAGAAAGTGTTACCTCCGAGTAAGTTCGCGACCACTTTCGCAAACTCGTTCAAAGCATGAAGCAATTGTCTTTTTCCCGCAGCAGATTTGCATAATCCGTCCGCAAAAAGAAAAAAAAAACATTTTTCAAACCTCGTACCTGTGGACTCTCGGTATCAACCCTAAACACCTTGTCGTATGGTGTTTAGGGTTGATGCTCTCTCGGATGGCATGCCATCCGAGTGGGTTTTAGTTTTTTTTTTTTAGGCATGCAAAATTTTGTAACCTTCGCCTCCGCGACTCGCTACGGAATTAACCAGGCGAACTACGCCAATATGACAAGACCAGTCGCCAGTTAATTGTTCATAAATCTCAACAGTTTAAGGCCGTTACAGCTTCTACACCGTGCGTTTCGTCTTGTGACAAAACGTGATAAATTTCTGGGGCATCGTGTGACTATCCGTGATAGAAATCCCGGATTCTGTGACCATCCGTGATAAATAGCTAGATTCTGTGCCCGTTCGCGATAGCAGCGTGACTTTTTGTGATGACGAGCCCCTGTTTGTGACTGCCTATATATTAACCCTTCTAGGGCTGGTGGGGGCGACCTTACGCAAGCACAGAGCCAGCCCCCTCCACTTTCCTATGCGCCTTCCCTCGAGAGTTTTGCTCAATCCCGCGGAATTGCGGTTCGTATTATTATCGCCACGTGGCATGCCTTCGATCACGTGAACCGCGATCTGCTTTATTGTTATCACAAACTTAAGGAGAAATTTGGTTAAGTTCTGTACTCTGCTGCCCGTGGGCAAAAATAAAACCCATTCGGGCTTGGCATGCGTTAGGGAGGCATCAACCCTGAATGCCTTGCCTCTAGGTGTTTAGGCTTGATGCATCCCTAACGCATGCCATACCTATAGGGGTTTTATTTGTGCCCGCGGGCAGCGCAGTATAGAACTTAACTAAATTTCTCTAGTAGTTTGTGATAACAATATAACAGATCGCGGTTCACGCGATCATAGGATCGCCACGTGGCGAAAATAAACCAAACCGCGCTTCCGCGGGATTGAGCACAATTCTCCCTTCCCTCGCTTTGTGTCTTGCTTCCACGTCGCCCTTGGGTTGGTAGTTCCTAGTGAAAATATTCCAAGCAGTCCATTCCTGCGCAGGAGCAAACTATGCTTCAACTCACCTCGTTGGAAATACCCATTCCGATCTCCAGCCACTATTTTCGCCTTCTCACTCGTTTAGTTGATGAGTTTTGGTTCAGACGGTCTGCATATAGCCGACGAGAATAGATCAGCCGCGGTACCATACCATAGTACGGTCAGCGGTCAGTCAATAATACATTTATGGTCAATGAGTGGCACGTTCTGTCTGTCCTTTTGAGCTATTTCGTCCAATCGCCCAGGGTATTCTGATCTCGCTGTCACTCGGTCGTTCGCCGCCTCGTCAGACGCAACTGGCTGTTTCTTAACAATCACAGGGTGATGGAGATCATTTGAAGACGAGCTAGCCGTTGATTTCCCCCGCTCATCAATCTTACCACGCCTACACGTACTATTTAGCGAGGGACATATCAGTGCAGCAAGGAAGAGAAAAACGCGTACACAGGGTTACCAGCATGTCGCTGACTCGTCAGATCGCCGTCAGTTGCGCGACTTCCACAGCCTGTCAGCCCACCTCGTCTAGGTTTCCCAGCAGGAATGTCATCGGACACGTCAGCGCCACCAGCGTCTCCGCTTCTTATGTCGTCTTGAGTCCCTCTGGGCGACAAAACAGAAGGCGACGGCGGGCGACGTCGCTCGCATCACGACCCTGTGCGACAGGATCCGAGTCTCTTTGTTGCGCGAATTTAGAGTCGACCATTTCGTCCGCTCCCTTGGGCTCGCGAACCACGCAACGTATTCGCGGCTCCCTGAGAAGCAGTGGTATCGAACCTGTAACATTTCGCAGCAGCCTCAATAGCGAACATTTTTGTTCGGGTTACCACAGCAGATACCCTTTCCGTCAACCATACCATCCGTTATCAGGTTACCAACGACTCGCGTGTAGGCGCGGAGTCACTGTAGCAACCATGGCAACTGCCGACGCGGGATTAGGTTCGGGACTGCGTCCAGGTTTGGGAGGAACGGGATTGGAGCTAGCAGTAGGTTCGGAGGGGCAGGGATGGCGGCGATCGGTGGCAGTGATGGAGGCGGTGCGGCAACTGGAAGCCATGATGCGCGAGCCGGCGGCCGTTCTTGATAGCATGAAGGTACGTGACTGTATGAAGGTGACAATAGCGGTGGGTGTATAGTGTATGTGACAATACTGGGGGGAACGTGGCGGTCGGTGGCAGTGATGGAGGCGGTGCGGCAACTGCAAGCCATGATGCGCGAGCCTGCAGCCGTGCTAGATAGCATGAAGGTGCAAGATAGTACATAGGCGATAGTAATAACGTTGGGTGTATGTGATGGTAACGGGGGTATAGCGTCTGGAAGCAGGTCAGGCTATCCCTCGAGCATTTCGAGATTCGCATCATCTGTTTCTACCTGGTCTCTTGCTTACCCTCCCCTTCTTCTCCCGCACACTCCCGTGTCCCTCCGTCGCACATGGAAACAGGACAAGCTCTCTTTTTCTTAACCATCTCGAGATGCCCATCATCATCTTTTGTCCATTTGGACTTTTGAGTACTCGCGGAATCCCGCCTTCCACATGCCGTGTCCCGCGTTCCCCCTTTCCTGTCCCCTTCCCTCCCCCACTCGCTAACAAGACAAGCTCTCATTCGAAGATCTCGAGATTCCTTATCCACTGTTTCAACCGGTTGCCTACCCTCCCATCCCTCTCGGATCTTTTCTCTCTTCCCCGTGTCTTCCTTCTATCCTACATAATAACATTACCAGATCTTCTCCCCCCTCTCGCCTTCCCCGTGTCTCCCCCGTCTCTCCCCCGTCACTTCCCCTCCGTCTCTTCCTCCCTTCCTCCCGCCTGGTAACAGGACAAGCTATCTCTAGAGGATCTCGAGATTCTCATCGCCTACTTCGCCCAACAGGGTCGCGACATGTGGCAGGCGCTCGAGGTGTACGATTGGATGGTCCGCGGGAACCGCGTGGAGCGCCGAACGCGGCGCCTTATCCACGTCATCATGGACCAGCGCCTCGGGCAGCTGCTACAGGAAGGCTGCCCGACGGAAAAAGTTTTGCGGCTGGTGGGCAGAATGGTGGATCTCGGGCTGCCCCCGGATTTCCCGCTGAAAAGAATGGTAGGGGAGGAGTTGTGGGATAGAGGGGCGGTGGCGGAAGTCGTGAAGCTTCTGAGAATGTTCCGGAACGAGGAGGAAAGCGCGCGGAAGGAGCAGGGGGTGGTGGCTGGAGTGAGAGTTATGGCTTGGAATGAGGAGGAGGATGAGGAGGAAGAGGATGAAGAATGGGAGGAAAGTGAGGAGGGGAGTGTGTGGACTGGGTTAAGTGAGAGTGAGGATGAGGTGGAGATTGGTAGTGGTGGGCAGAAAGATGGCGAGGCACGGCCATCTGATTGCGCAACTCAAGGTAACACATTCTCATTCCTCCCCCGCCCTCCCGCCCGCCTCCCCCTCTCTCACCACCTTTCCCGTTTTCACCTCCTCCACATCTCTCAAACCCAACCCCTCCCGCCCTTGCCCCGGCCCCGCCCCCACCCTGCTCCCACCCGCACCCCCTCTTCTTCCTCCTCACCGCCTCTCCCCTCACTGCTTTCTCTTTCCATCAGTCTCTCGCTTGTTCCTGCCGTCATTCGCTTTCCAGGTCTCCCTCGCTCTGCTGCCAGTGCTTCCCACACCCTTCCCTCTCACGCCTCGAATCTCTCTCACCCCATGGATTCTCCATCCTCCCTCCCTCACCCCCCTCCCCCCAACCCTCGCTCTCTTACAGCCTTGCATCATGCGATTGCTGAGCCGCCTAAAAAGAATTCTTCTTTTTTCCCTCCCTCCCTCCGTCCCTCCCTCCTGCCCTCCCTCCCTCCCTCCCTCCCTCCCTCCCTCTTTCCCTCCCTCCCTCCCTCCGTCCCTCGCTCCCTCCCGCCCTCCCGCCATCCATCTCTTGCGTGCAGCCCCGCAGCATGAGAGTGCCCAGAGGAGCGCGCGGCAGGAGATTCAGGAGCGGCTGAAGCTGCAGCTGCTCGTGCGAGCGAGCGACCGTGGAGCCACTGGGAGTAGCAGCTGCAGCAGCGGCAGCACCAACGGCAAACAGAGCAGCAGCTTCAGCAGTAACAGCAGCAGCGGTAGCAGCTGCGAGGAGATGGTTATACAGAGAATACCGGGTCCAGGGGTGGGCATGGGAGCAGCTGAGTCAAGAAGGCAAGATGTGCGATTGTCAGGTGTGGAAAGGAGTGGGGTGCGGTCTGAACAACAACAGAGCAGCAGAGCTGCAGGTACTGAGGACAGCAGCAGAGGCGCTAGCACAGGAGGGGCGAATGAGGCGAAAAGAGGGCAGGGGCAGGAAGGGAAGCAGGCAGGCAGAGAGTCAAAGTCAAGAGAGGCAGAAGCAGAGAGGGAGGGGGATGAAGCAGCTGTGATGCGAGCAGCAGAGGCAGCAGCAGAGGTGGCAGCAGCGGCAGTGGGGGAAGAAGAAGCGGCGATGAGAGCAGCAGAGGAGAGGGAGGATCTAGTGGGGCTGCTGCTGCTGCGAGCTGTTAGCGCTGGGCAGTACCGGCAGGTGCTGCCGCTGCCGCGCATGCTGAGAGAAGCCGGGGTGGAGGTGGGCGTGGCGGGGTTCGGTGCGGTGCTGACCGGTGCGGTGAAGGAGCAGGAGAAGCTGAGTGTGGCGCGGAGGGAGTTGAGGGATCTGCAGCAGATGGGCGTGGTGGGGCAGCTGTCGCCTCTGGAAGGGCTTCTACTGGAGGTGAGCATAGATAGGCAGGCGGTCAGGGCAGGCGGTGAGGTGAGTACTGAGTGATAAGGTGATAGAGGGACGAGGAGTTGAGGGATTTGCAGCAGATGGGCGTGGTGGGGCAGCTGTCGCCTCTGGATGGGCTTCTACTGTAGGTGATCCTACTAGGCGCGTAAAGGGAGTGGTGACAGTTGAATGATGCGGGATGGGGCTGCACTCAAGGAATGCCATTGCAGCAGATGGGCGTGGTGGGGCAGCTGTCGCCTCTGGATGGGCTTCTACTGGAGGTGATCCTACTAGGCGCGTAAAGGGAGTGGTGACAGTTGAATGATGCGGGATGGGGCTGCACTCAAGGAATGCCATTGCAGCAGATGGGCGTGGTGGGGCAGCTGTCGCCTCTGGAGGGACTTCTGCTGGAGGTGAGTGACCAGACTGGACGATTCTGCTTTGGGTGGACCAAAGGATAAACTGATGGGACAAACATCTTCTATAGGAGTGAAAATCCCTTCCTCTCAATCCCTTCCTCTCAATCCCTTCCTCTCAATCCCTTCCTCTCAATCCCTTCCTCTCAATCCCTTCCTCTCAATCCCTTCCTCTCAATCCCTTCCTCTCAATCCCTTCCTCTCAATCCCTTCCTCTCAATCCCTTCCTCTCAATCCCTTCCTCTCAATCCCTTCCTCGCAGTCCCCTTCTTTCAATGTCCTCCTCCTCTCGATGCCCCCCTCTCAATTTTCCCCTCTCTGTCACTTGCACATGTAGGTCCACAGGGCAACGTTGCAGCACTAACCAACTTCTGAGGCGCTTTAAGAACACTGCCCGCCTCTCAATGCCCCCCTCTTACTGCCCCCCTATCCATGCCCCCCTCTCAATGCCCGCCTCTCGAACCTTCTGTCCCTGCCACTTGCACACACAGGTCCTTGGAGTAACGCTGCAGCACAAGGCAGGTTTTCAGGCACATCCCAAAGCAGACTCTCAACAACCTCCTCTCAATGTCCCCTGCTCAATCCTCCCCTGCTCAATCCTCCCTTGCTCAATCCTCCCCTTGTCCCTTTACTTGCACCCATGCAGGGGCAACGCTGCAGCACGAGGCAGGTTTTCAGCCATCGTTTAAAGCGATACTCTCAACAACCTCCTCTCAGTGCCCACCTCCCAATTCTCCCCTTGTCCCTGCCATTTTCACGCATGCAGGTTCACGGGGCAACACTGAGGCACGAGGTAGAGCAAGTGGTGCAGTGGTGTGCAGAGGAGTGCGGGGGCGACCTGCAAAGACTGAGGGAGGCTGTCTGCGAGAGAGAGAGGCAACGGGAGGAGCGGCTAGCAGTGCTTGGACAGGCGGGCAAAGGGGGAAACGAGGTGAACGGGCGAGAGGCACAGCCGTACCAGCAAGTAGCAGAGGAGGTGGATGGAAGGGTATTTTTGTGGCGAGATGCTCAGATTGCTGGGCTGTCACCAGGGCTGTTGAGTGGGGGAGGCATGAGGGAAGAAGAGGAGGGATACAGAATAGGCTCGCAAGAGCGTGATGAGTCTTCGTTGCTGCTGGACCTGCAACGAAACAGAAAAGGAGAGGTGCAGTGGGAGGGTATATCGGAAGTGCAACGAGGGACGCAGAGGTTAGAGAAGGGGAGGGAGGGGGAGGGGGAGGGGGAGAGGGAGAGGGAGAGGGAGCTGCAGTTGCTACTTTTAGGGGAACTTGCACCAGCACAGGCAGAAGCAGAAGCAGAGGCAGAGGCAGAGGCAGAGGCAGAGTCAGTTGTACAGTTGAGGCAGCAGGAGGGGGAAGGGCAGAGGGAGATGCAAAGAATAGAGGAGATGAAGAGGGTGAGAGGGAGGGGGAGGTTTCATGAAGCGAGTCAGAACTTATCTCGGGAGGAGCTAGAGCGATTGAGAAGGGTACAACAGTCAGAAAAGGAGAGGGAGAGGAGCAGGGAACTTCAGAGGCTAGAGCGGGAGAGGGAAAGAGACCTGTGGGTGCTGCAAGCGGGGGAGGTGGCAGCAGCGCGGGCGCAGGCGGGCATGCAGGGGAAGCTGGTGACGCTGTGGTTCAACGCGGGCCACCCCGAGCAGGCGGAGCGCGCACTGTGGGGCGTGGTGCAGCAGGGGGCGCCTGTACCTGGGGATTTGGCCGCCAGTGTTGCAGGGCTGTACGCCTACTGGGGCGACCACACGGGGCTAAACAGGTAAGGAGGGAGGGTGAGGGGAGAAATGGGTCGCTGTGGGGCGTGGTGCAGCAGGGGGGAAGCGAGGTGACTTTTGAGTCGACTCAGGAGAAATGGGTCGCTGTGGGGCGTGGTGCAGCAGGGGGGAAGCGTATCTGGCGACCTGGCGGCTAGTGTGGCGGGGATGTATGTATGCTCACTGGGGAGACCAACTCTCTCTTCACAGGTAAGGGTGGGGACGTGCGAACAGGGGCATCCTGAGCAGGCGGAGCGGCCGCTGTGGGGCGTGGTGGAGGTAAGGAGGGTGAGGGGAGAAATGGGCGCTGTGGGGCGTGGTGGAGGTAAGGAGGGTGAGGGGAGAAATGGGCGCTGTGGGGCGTGGTGCAGCAGGGGGCGCCCGTGCCTGGCGACCTGGTGGTCAGTGTTGCAGGGCTGTATGCGTACTGGGGAGACCAACCCTTGCTCCGCGGGTAAGAAAGGGAGGACGTGGTTGCTTGGTAGTCAGAATGGGAAGACGTGGTTGCTTGGTAGTCAGAATGGGAAGACGTGGTTGCTTGGTAGTCAGAAAGTGGGGCGTGGTGCAGCAGAAGGGGTGCGGGTCTGGCGACTTGGCAGCGCGTGTTGCGGGGTTGTATGCGTAATGGGGCGACCACTTGGCGTTAAACAGGTGGGTGTGTGGGGGGGGGGAGTAGGAGAGGGGTGGAGAGAAAGGGCCCGGAAAGGGGGTTGGGTGGTTTGCAATGCATGGTGATTCGATTCTGGACAGGCGGAGTGGTGAATGCAGGAAAATCACCTCCCTCCCTCCCTCTCTCCCCCTCTCTTTCTCCCCCCACCCTCCTCCCGCCACCAGCATCATACAACGGCTGGAAGCGCTGGGGAGTCCCCTGGACGAGTGGGCGTATGCACTCGTGGTGGGGGCCGCCATGCGTTCTCTGCTCTCCAACCGCTCTCTCATCATGCTATTGCCTTGCCCTCTCTCTCCTCTCTCTCTCTCTCTCTCCTCTCTCTCTCTCTCTCTCCTCTCTCTCTCTCTCTCTCTCTCTCTCTCTCTCTCTCTCTCTCTCTCTCTCTCTCTCTCTCTCTCTCTCTCTCTCTCTCTCTCTCTTCCCCCCACAGTTTCATACAGCGGCTGGAGGCACTGGGGAGTCCCCTGGACGAGTGGGCGTATGCACTCATGGTGGGGGGAGCACTCAAAGGCGGGCATGTAAACGTGGCTGCATTCGCTGTGAGGGAGGTGAGGATGAAAGGGGAGTGCGTGTGTGCGTAGCTGGTGTACTGGGTCCGTCTGTCTGTGGTGGGGGGGAAGGGAGCACTCAAGGGCGGGCACGTGGACGTGGCTGCATTCGCCGTGACTCGTGAGGGGGGTAAGAAGAGAGAGAGAGAGTGTGTGTAGCTGGTCTAGTGAGTCGGTATGTGCTCATGGCGTCTTCTGGACGAGTGGGCATATGCGCTCATGGTGTGGGGGGGTGCGCTCAAAGGTGGACACGTGGTCGTGGCTGCTTATGCCGTGCGGGAGGTGAGGAGAGAGGTTTGAGTGTGCAGGTGCGGTGGAGGTGAGCATGCTTGTGGGTGTGTGTGCTTGTGGGTGTGTGTGCTTGTGGGTGTGTGTGCTTGTGGGTGTGTGTGCTCGTGGGTGTGTGTGCTTGTGGGTGAGCATGCTTGTGGGTGTGTGTGCTTGTGGGTGTGTGTGCTTGTGGGTGTGTGTGCTTGTGGGTGTGTGTGCTTGTGGGTGTGTGTGCTTGTGGGTGTGTGTGCTTGTGGGTGTGTGTGCTTGTGGGTGTGTGTGCTTGTGGGTGTGTGTGCTTGTGGGTGAGCATGCTTGTGGGTGTGTGTGTGTGCTCGTGGTGGCGAGTGCTTTCAAGGCCAAGCATGTGGATGTGGCTGCATCTGCTGTGAGGCTGGTGAGGAGCGAGCATGTATGCATAGCTGGTGTACTGAAGTCGGTGTGCGCTCTTCCCCACCCAACTGAATCCCCCTCTCCCTCCCCCCTTCCCCCACCCATGTACTGCAGATGGTGCGGAGGGGCATGCAGCCCAACGCACAGCAACTCGCTATAGTGTTGCGGCGGTTACAGAGGGGGGATGCGGGAGTGGAGGCGTATCTGGGGCTGTGCGCGGCCCTGGCGGACGTGGGGCTGCTGGAGCCCACCCTCGTCTTCCTCTATGTTGATTTGCTGCGCCTCTGCATCCTGCGCATGCTGTAGGGGCCAGCGAGCGGGCACTGCACAGAGGTGTGGAGGCGTATCTGGGGTTGTGTGCTGCCCTGGCGGACGTGAGGCTACTGGAACCCATGCTCGTCTTCCTCTACGTTGATCTGCTTTGGGTCTGCATCCTGCGCGTTGCTCTGAGCAGTAGGGTTGTATTTCATCATGTCAGGGCTGTGTTGCCGCTGCTGCTGCTGCTGCGGCCGCTGCTTCTGTTGTGGAGCTTTCGGAGCCCACGCTGCGTCTCTGCATCCTGTTACATGCTGTAATCGCTGCGTCTCTGCATCCTGTTACATGCTGTAATCGCTGCGTCTCTGCATCCTGTTACATGCTGTAATCGCTGCGTCTCTGCATCCTGTTACATGCTGTAATCGCTGCGTCTCTGCATCCTGTTACATGCTGTAATGGAGGCTGGCAGTGACATACAGGCCCGTGTTTCTGTCGACGATGCCTCCTCTGCTGGATCTGCCCTGAGGCTTCCCACCCTTTTGTTCCTCTATGGTATGGCGATGCGCTGCGCCTCTGATCGGCTCAGCAACAATGGACAGGAGCTGTAACAAGTACACTTCATGCCACACATTGTGGCTTGCATGTTTCTACGTATTTTCTGCTGTATATTTGTTGTACGCTTATGAAATGATGCCATACTTGCCCCTGCAATACTTGGGTGTGACCGAAAGGGTGTGGCACACATGCACAGCAATACACATGCAGGGAACCACTGGTTACACGCTTTCCTCTACTCCACTCATGGCGAGAAAGCTTACACACTAATCCTAAGAAAAAAACATTTCTCATGAACCTATTGTTTAGGTTGGGTCGAAAACAGCAAGCCCTCCCTCCTCCGCCTGGGTCGGAAGAGCAACTCTTGTAGCACACCGGTGGCAGAGCCTCGGGGACACAAATCACTGCTCCAAGACTCAACCTCCCGTGCTGCCTTCCCTTCTGCTTTCTCTGCCCCTGCTGCCTTCTCTTTTGCTTCCCCCGCGGTTTCCTCTGCTGCTTTACCTACTGCCTGCTGTCGGGTGTTACCTTGCTCTGTAGCGCAACTAGCAAGCAGCTGGGGTGACGGTAGGTGTTTCTGCTTGCGCTGCTGACACACAATGGTACTACTTGGCTTCTGTGGTGTCTCAGGGCGGAATTGTGGCAGGTGTTTGCGCTTCTGCCTCTCACCCTCCCCCTGCACCACACCCTCTGCTCTCCTCCCTTCACCCTTTACCCTCTCGCCCTCTTCTGCGCTCCCTCCCTCTTGTGGTCTCCCTCCCTCCTGTGCCTCCATCCCCTCGCTCTGCTCTCTGTGCTGCTGAGGGGCCACCCTACACGACCTCCCTGTCCGTGGCGCTGGAAGCGCCGCTGGTGCTTCTCCCTGAAAGACCCTCTTCTCCACACATGCCAGCTCTCGCCCCCCTTTCGCTGCTGCTGCTGCTGCTGCTTCTGCCTCCTCTTCTGCAGCTGCTTCCCCCGTTGCTGCTACTGTTCCGTTCCCAGCACGTTCATTCTCCTTGGCAACGTGCCGTCGCAACAGAGCCCTGATTTTGCCTGCTCTGCTCACCCCTCGGCCATCCCTGGCACCTTGCAACTTCAACTCAATAGTACTGGCCGCTCCATTGTCCCCCACGCCCCTGTTGCCGCCCCCTTCACTGCTTCTTTCGGGATTATTCCTGTCGCCTTCAGTATTTTGCTCCCCTTCACCACTCCTTCCGCTGGTGCTTCTGCTGCTGATGCTGCTTATTGCAATGCCCCTAGTTGGAGTGCCATCAGAGCATCTGGACCGTTGGATCATCGACCGCAAGACTGGGCCCGGACCTGATGAGATGCGTGGTGGTGAGGGACAGGTGAAGGGGAGAGGAGGTAAGGGAAGAGTAACGAGGAGAGAGGTGAGGAAAAGAGAGTGAGAAGCAAGGAGAGCAGAGGGACGGACAATAGGAGAGGGGCTAGTGAGGGGCAGGCGAAGCGACGCGAATCAAGTAGCAAAACACATGTAACACAGCCACACTCCAGCTACCTCGACCTCGCATGCATAGAGTTAGAGGGGTGACTCACTCAGTGATCGTGCCCGGGCAATGAGCCTGCAGACCCTCCTGGCTGGATCAAAGGAGCTCTGCCTCACCACTCCCAAGATCACCCCTCCTCCTCCCCGCTCCCACTCCTCCACCTCCCTCTCCTCCTCTCCCACCTCCCTCTCCTCCTCTCCCACCCCCCTCTCCTCCTCTCCCACCCCCCTCTTCTCCTCTCCCACCTCCCTCTCCTCTTCTCCCACCTCCCTCTCCTCCTCTCCCTCCTCGCTCTCTGTCGCCACCTCCTCCTCCTCCTTGTTCACCTCCTCCCCGGCGTGGCCTCCGTTCTGTTCATCCTCCACACCTCCTCGAAGCTTCCAATCCCCCACCTCCCCCCTCTCCCCTCCCTTCCCTCCCTCCTCCCTCGCCATCACCACCTCCTCCTCCTTGGTCGCCTCTTCCACTGCCTCGGCCCCGTTCTGTTTCTTATCCTCCACGCCTCCTCCGTCCTCTCTCATGCGCCCCGCCTGCTGCTCCTGCGGCTGCTCCCCCTCCTGCTGCTTCTCCTCCTGCTGCTTTTCCTCCTCCTGCTGCTCCTCCTGCTGCTTTTCCTCCTCCTGCTGCTCCTCCTGCTGCTCCTCCTGCTGCTCCGCCTGCTGCTCCTCCTGTAAGTCAATGGCGGGCGCATCACACCCAACCACGACAAGCACACCCTCGTCGCCCCGCACTCTCTCCTTCCCTGATTCGTCCCCCTCTGCTCCCTCAGCCAACCCCTCCTCTTCTACAGACTTCTCCCCTGCACCTTCCCCCTCCGCCACGCCTCCCCCCTCCACCACGACTACCCTGCCTGCCACGCCTTTCCCCTCCGTCGCCCCTCCCCCCTCCGCCACCCCTTGTTCGCTCCCCCTTGCGCCCTGCACTGCCGCTGCTGCTACTCTTCCCTCTGTTTCAACTAATTCGATCGCAGCAACTGCAACAGCAGCAGAAGCAGAAACAGAAGCATTACCAGCAGCAGCAGTAGGAGCAGCAGCACAGCCACCATCAGGAGCAAGATCAGCACCATCATCAAAAGCACCAGAACCAGCGGAACCAACAGCAGCAGCAGCACCACCAGCAATAACAGCAGCAGCAGAACCAGTAGTAACAGTAGCAGCAGCATCATCAGCAGAAGCAGCACAGGCACTCGCATCTCCGTCCGCAGCAGGCCCATCGTTCCCATCACCATCGCCATCACCACCACCAGAAGCAACAGCAGCAGCAGCACCAGCAGCACCGTCTGTACTTCCGAGCAAGTTGCTCATCTTCCGCTCCTGCTGCCACCTATCGCTCCTTCCCCTCCCTGACTCGTCTCCCCTGCAGCCCTCTTTCGTCCTCGATACTGGCACCTTCACCTGTTCGTCGTAGCTGACAGGGACGCGGTTCTCACCCCCTTGTACCGCATCTCGTCCAGTCACATCTCTTTCCACCGCATTTTCCAGTACCTGTTGCAATTTCTTCTCGTGCTGCTCGATTCCAGCTGCTGCCAGCCCCGACGAATTCCATGCTGCCACGTGTCGTTCGCCTGCCGCTCTCTGAGACGGCGCGTTGCCGTCCACCCGTTTTAAGGCGCATCGGTTACGCATCACGTTCGAAAATGCACCTCTCGCACTCTCTTTTCCCGCGCCACCGCCCTTGCTACGGCCCACAGCCTGGGAGTCGTGCGGACGGTCGTGTGTCTCAGCTGCTCCCACAGATGGACGATCAAGATTTAATTTCGTCGTTCCATCCGCTTCTCCCGCTCCGTCCGCGCGTACAATCCCTTCCGAAGGCCCCTCTCGCGGGGAGCTTCCGCTCTCCCCCGTTTGCCTTCCGGTAACCGCGCTCGTCGTTCCGCGGATGCTCCCCCCGCCGCGGGGGGAGGGGCGTCTTGCGCCAGATTTGCGCATACCGTCGCTGTGAGGGACATTCTGGTCCCCGCGGGGGGAACTCCTCTGGGCGAACTGTTTCCGCGGGGGGGCTTCATCCCCGCCATGGGTCTTTTCACTTCCGCGGGCGTTAGGTTGGCGGAAGGTTTGCCGCGGGCGCGAAAGAGAGGGAGGGAGCGGGAGAGGGGAGGGGTGGCAGGGAAAGCGCGCGCGTTTGGCCGAAAGCGCGTAGTAGGACAGAGGGGGCGGTACGCGCCCACTTGCGCCAGCTCCGGTACCGATTCCGCTTTCGCGGGCATCACTTCCGCCTCCGCAATTATCACCTCCGCTTTCGCGATTACTACTGGTTCCGCCGCCCCAGCACCAACTACTGCTACTCTCGGCGCACGTGTGCAGACAGTCGCTTAGGTAGCGCTCTACCCACTCCTTCCGCGAAGCTTCCTCTTCCTGCCTCGACCCCTCCTCATGTGGGACAAGCGGTCCGGTGATCTCCGAGCGGCGTCGCTGATTGGTCGCAGTCATGCGACAATCGTTGCCCTCGCCGTTCTCGCTGGCGCCGATGTACCCCTTATAGGGCTCCGCGGCACCAATGTGGGTCTCTTCCATACAACCGCAAATAAGCATTTGTACCTCCCTGCAAATGCAGCCGCGCTGCGTTTCGTCGCTGCCGTCACAGCGGGTCCGGTCGGACTCTGGAGCGCGAGTGCGAGCCGGCTGCGATCCTACTAATCTTCCTGAACCCGCGACTCCGTCGCTCAGTTTGCCACGTGTGTCGCTACGCCTGCCACGTGTATCGCCCCGTGTGCCACGTGTATCACCCCGTTTGTTACTGTAACCCCAGTGCCCATCCTTTTGGTTCTGCACGGCTGCTGAAGCGAGGAGCTTTCGTAGCTGCTGTATTGAATCCTTCGAGGTCGCAACTAGCGGGGAGAGGTGAGAGCGGGAGGGAGAGGAGGATGAAGAGGAGGAGGGGCTGACTTGGGGTGATGGGGTGAGCGCAGGCGAGAGGGTATCAGGCGATTCGCAGCCCTCATCAGAATTGCACAAACTGTCGCTACATTCTGAATTTGGAGCGATTACGAGTTCGCAAACTTCCAAGTGGTCGCCACGACGCGGTGTGACATGCACCTTCGTCGTCCCGTGTGGTTCAGCAAAATTCCATGCAGAATCGTGCGAAACGGAACGCAACGCAGCTTGCGACGCCATCGTGTCGTGGTCGCCCGGCGCCGGCGCAATACGATCAATTCACATACAATTGCAAACGTCGAATATATACCATCATTAGCCTGGGTGCTCAACCGTTGACTACTTATGAGGCGCCTCAAAAGCAGCAGATATAGTCTAGTGCATTCCGGACTTCCACGGTGCCACGCCAAGCCGCTAATATCCAGCTTTGGAAGAACAGGACATGGTGCGAATTAGCGGAGAGTTTACTAGCATCAACCTGACAACTTCCATACGCTTTCTGAAAGGAAACTCAGAAGGTGAACGTGGTTACGGATCGGTGGGAAAGGGTTGCCTATTTTGCTTGTGCCTCCTCGTGGAGCCGCGCGAGGGATATAAATTTCGCTGCGCAATTTTGACCAGCACGCGCTGCGACTAGCTGACTCCTCGGGCCAACGGGAGGGAGGAATTTCCAAGAAATGAAAGTTGGCCCCACACCAAGGGTGCAGCTGAGCCGACCTGACGTGACGGCTGCTGATCGAGGCGAATGCACCGAACCGACCGACAGACAGATGTGGCCTCGATCTGACACCTGACGAACCGCCTGTTCGAAGAAGGCGCTTCGCTAATCGATAGAAGGAGGTTTCATAGTTTGGGAAACATGCAAAATCTTTGTATATAAGGCAAACTTCCGGCTTGCACATCAAATCATATGAGGCTCTATAGCACTAGTGTCAAACAATAACACTTGTGAACAACTCATTACCGTACATTAGCATATCCTCATTTTAGATATTTCTGCATCATGGAACGCTTTTCTGCTTCTTCCTCGCGAGAAACCGGGCACGAGCATCACTCACCTTGTCTTCTGCTGATACCTTCACACTCTTACTATCACCACCCTCCAATGGCTTTCTGACACCTGGCGAAGAATGTTCAACAGAAACCCCAGCACCACCATTCCCCCCACCAGCAGAACCCCCCTCACGCCCTACTCCACCAGCCTGTCTCGTCTCATCCTCGCCCGCACCTTCCTGGCTGCTTCTCAGAGGCAAGCCATCCCCCCTGCTTGCACCGGGACCAGCAGCAGCACGCACAGCAACATCACCCCTTCCCACACCCCCACTTCCTTCCTCTCCACCACTCTCCTCCCGATCCCTCCCCGCACTCACAGCACCTTCCTGTTCCCCATCCCCATCCACCGCTGGCAAATCTCCCCTTAGCATCCTCTGCCGTCCGTCTGACAACACAGCAGCTGCCGCCCCCTGCTTGCCCCGCCCCATCGGCTCTCCCACTGGCAGCTCACGCTCCTTGCTCCCTGCTCTCTGCTTCTCCCTGCCCTCCTCCACTCCTGCCCTCCCCTCCTCTTTCCCCAACCTCCCACTGGGCTTCACCCCTGTGTCTGCTTGAGCATCCCGCACGCCTGGGGACTTTGCTTGAGCATCCTGTGCCCGGTACAGGTTGCGGTACAGATCTGTCAGGTCAGACCGCTTGGTCACCTGGAGGAGACGTGGGGGCAGGAGGGGGAAGGAACGGAAGGACGAGGAAGGGGGGAAGAGGGGGAAAGGGGAAAAAGCGGGGAAGGGGAAGAAAGGAATGGGGGAAATGGGGTAATGGGGAACAAGGGGGGAAGGGGGGAATGGCAGGGTGGAAAGGGGGGCAAAGCAGAGATGAAGAGTTGACGTTGCAAAAAGGGAGGTTGGGGCGGAAGGGAAAGGGGCGGGGGAGGAGGAGGGGAAGTGAGGAAAGGGGGCAGCAGGGCGGGAAGAGGGGTTGAAGCAGAAATCAAAATTGTGCTCTTCAAAAGCAGGGGAAAGAGAGGATCAATCATCATTACGTGACTGTACAGAGTAAAATGGAAAGAAAAAGGGAGGGGAAAAGGGCAAGGGAGGGGGCGGGGACATGGGCACGGGAAAGAAGAGGAGAAAGGCAAGGGAGGGGGAGGGGAGAAGGGCAAGGGAGGGGGCGGGAAAAACGCTCATGCCAGTGCCCATGCCCATGCCCATGCCCATGCCCATGCCCATGCCCATGCCCATGCCCATGCCCATGCCCATGCCCATCCCCAATCCCCATCGCAACACCCCATTCCACAAGCACCCAGCAGCCGTCCCTCCTCACATCGTTAGCCGCCTCCTCAGCCTCCTTCCTCTTCTCCTCCGCCAGCCATCGCTGCCGCTCCACCAGCTTCTCGCGGTAAGCGCGCGTGACAAACCGCTCCTTGCCCGCGAACTCCTCCTCCTCCTTCGCCCTCTCCTTCGCCAGCAGCCGCTCCTGCACCAGCTCCTTCTCCTTCTCCCTCTCCTTGGTCGTCTTTAACAGGTTTGGAATGTAGCGGGCCTGCCGTCAGGGAGAAACAGGCACATAGGGTCCAGACCAGACCAACAGAAAGGGACGGCACGAGGCCCAACTGTGTTTGCTTCCCTCTCCTTCGCCAGCAGCCGCTCCTGCACCAGCTCCTTCTCCTTCTCCCTCTCCTTGGTCGTCTTTAACAGGTTTGGAATGTACCGCGCCTGCAGTCCGGGCGAATGAGAGGCGAATGCAAGGGAAAGGACACGACCGATACAAGAGACAGGACAAGTTTTCTTGTGTTCTCTTCCCCTTCCTTCGCCCTCTCCTTCGCCAGCAGCCGCTCCTGCACCAATGCCTTCTCCTTCTCCCTCTCCTTAGTGGTTTCAGCAGGTTCGGAATGTACCATGCCTGCAGTAGGCGTGAATCGAAGGCAAAATGGAAGGAGCAAGGCAAAAGCAAGGGACAAGGGCCTGTGGTTTCAGATTCCTTCTCGAACACCCAAACATAGATGGGTCCTTCGAGTCGCCTTAGAAACAAAACGCGCAGCACCGCACAGGACCGCACTGCACGCACCTGTCTTTGCACGGAATCCTTGGCGGCGCGAATGTGGTCGAACACCCCGTCGTAGTCAAACACTGATGGCTCCTCCGCCATGGCCTGCTGCTTGAGGTGCCTTACATAAAAATAAAACCGTGCAGAACCGCACTGCACCACATTACACTGCACTGCACCGCACTACACTGCACTGCACCCACCTGTCTCTGCACGGCCTCTTTGGCTCGCGAGGTCCTGGCGGCGTGGATGGTGTCGTACACCCCGTCGTAGTCAAACACTGACGGGTCCTCCGCCATCGCTGCCTCGTGCTGCTGCTCCGTCTGCACACACAACAAGGGCGGCGGTAGGAGAGGGCACGGGATAAAATGAGACGAGTTGTAAGGCGCCTTGGAAGCTGCCTCGTGCTGCTGCTCCGTCTGCACCCACCACCACATGATGCGGTAAACAGAAGAGGACAAGGGACAAAATGATTTCGAAACAAGGTATAAGACGGGCGCTAGTGCTGCCGCTTGATCGCAATAAGGGGCCGTCCACAAGTTGGAAAATATGCGGGTAGCCTAGTAGCTGCTGTGTCGGCCCTTCTTGAAACTCTGCCTTGACGTGGCCGCCTACTCGCCGCGTCGAGCCTACTCGCCGTCGTTTACGCGTAATCGCCGCGTCGTCACCCGTCATCAGCTAAATTCCACCATCACCACCACGATTTTGACATGTCCACAACCCGCCCGCAGATCACGCCGCACCTCACGCTGGCTTCGCTTCTTGAGGTTCTGCCTCGCGATATCGGCCTCCACATCGTCGTCGTCATCGTTGCCGAAAAGCGTTTGCAGCTTCGCATCTCGCACGGGTGGTAACGGCTTCGCCGCCGTCGCAGGGCGATGGCTTTGCGGCTTGCGGCGAATCTCGAGGCCGTACTTCACGGGCTTCGACCGATCCATGGCGGAGATTATTGAAAGGTAAATTGAACAAAAAAGGATAGATATTCCGAGGCAAATACGGGACGCGGCTCGCGGCAGCCCAGGAAAGCGGAACGTCTTGGTGTTCTGGGGAGTACAAAACAGGTCTTGTGGTGATCTCAAACATGGTTACCACATATGTAACAATAATGCAGTGTTGGGATTTCTCTTGACTACAATTATATAAAGTATTTATGCATGGGTGTTACTGGTGCAATTAAGCGAAAGAGGATTGCACTATCGAGGTAAGAATGGAGGACAGAGCGAAGATCATGTACCAAGATAATGGTAATGGCAATGCATGGATTTATGTGGTGCTCTACGAGCCGAGCGCTGGGGGTTTGGAGTAGGCTGAGATGTAGGGCCGGACAGCGGACGAGTTGTCGTTGCCGGTCCATCTTTCAATGGAGTGGATCCAAAGGGTAAAATAAATATTATGCTAGACAGCACCTAGATGACCCAAGCAGGTGTGAACTTTCCATTTAAATATTTGTTTTGACATGTGAACACGTCGCTCTGCTTGGCGCCTTCAGAGTCCACCCTAGGAACTTTGGTTCCTTTATGACCCCTGCTAGGATGCCCTTCTTGTGCCGCTGGTAATTAGGTTATGTGCAATTTGTTTTGTGATTTTATTGAACTGAGTTGTGTCATTATCTAGCTGTGCGAAAGGAACACACCAGCCCAGTTATCGCAAATGCATAAACCCAATATTGCGTGTGCATTATGTTTACAAGCCTTGGCTGTAACCAACAAAACATTCATGTCAACACAGGTGCTCATATTTTTGTTCACAGCTCCTCCTGAAGCATCAGTGATTGGTATCATTAGTGATTGGCCGTTTCAGTCATGCGTGTAGGATGGTACGGTAGATAGAGATGGGAGTTTCAGTCACGAGCGTAGGATGGTAGATAGAGATGGGCGTTTCAGTCATGAGCGCAGGATGGTAGATAGAGATGGGTGTTTCAGTCACGAGCGTAGGATGGTAGATAGAGATGGGTGTTTCAGTCATGAGCGTAGGATGGTAGATAGAGATGGGTGTTCCAGTCACGAGCGTAGGATGGTAGACAGACATGTGTGTTTTGCTTTCCTTCAATTTGTAGAGTCCATACCAAATGCATGAGTACATGGTATACATGCCTTCACATGAAATGCATGAAATGATAGGCATGCCTTCACACCAAACGCATGACTTCACAGAAAATGCATGGCTAGATTCTTTACATGCCCTCACATTAAATGCATGACTATGTGATATGCATGCAGTCACACCAAATGCATGACTAAACGACATGCATCCTGTCATACCAAACGCTTGTCTGCATGATATGCTTGTGTTCTCACCAAATGGTCGACCGCATGATATGCATGCCATCACACCAATTGCATCCATACATGCCTTCATACCGAATGCATAACTACATGATAGACATGCCTTTACATCAAATGCATGAGTGCATGATATGCATGCCTTCACACCAAATGCATGACTACATAACATTCATTCATGTCGCCACACCAAACGCATGACTGCATGACGTGCATGCCTTCACACCTTATGCATGTTGACACGCTTTCACACCAAAAGCGAGACTACATAAGAAGTGCCTTCACACAAAATGCATAACTACATATTCGATTATCATTTCATTGCATACCCACCAAAGGCGTGATTACATGATAGGCATGCCTTTACACGATGCCACGAGTACATGATATGAATGCTTTCAACCCAAATGCATGATTACCTTATATGCATGCCGTCACACCGCATGCATGCACACCTTCATACTGCACGCATGCACTCTTTCACACAAAATTCATGCATACCTTCACATTGAATGCATACCTTCACATTGAATGCATACCTTCACATTGAATGCATACCTTCACATTGAATGCATACCTTCACATTGAATGCATACCTTCACATTGAATGCATACCTTCACATTGAATGCATACCTTCACATTGAATGCATACCTTCACACCAAATGCATACCTTCACACCAAGTGCATACCTTCACACCAAATGCATACCTTCACACCAAATGCATACCTTCACACCAAGTGCATACCTTCACACCAAATGCATACCTTCACACCAAGTGCATACCTTCACACCAAATGCATACCTTCACACCAAGTGCATACCTTCACACCAAATGCATACCTTCACACCAAATGCATACCTTCACACCAAATGCATACCTTCACACCAAATGCATACCTTCACACCAAATGCATACCTTCACACCAAATGCATACCTTCACACCAAATGCATGACACACATCCATGCATGTCTTCTCACCGCACCAGCTGTGTTCTAGAGACTTCGCTTATGAAGCCCGGGCCTGACCTGCTGGAAGGGGATCTCCCAAGCCCTTAAAAAAAAATAAAAATTGTGGATTTAACTTATACATATACAAAGCATAGACGAAAAGGAAGACGTAAGCATGAGCGAGCATGGGAGCTACGTTACTGGGAAGACCTCCTCGCCCTATACAGCTCCTACGCCTACAGGGCAGTCCTTTGAGGGGCCCCAGAATGACCACTGGGGCGCCTCAAATGCTACATCACTGGGAAGTCCTCTGCTCCCTATACAGCACGGCCTCTGTGCAGTCAAACATGAGTAGATCCGCATCGCCGGACGTGTGTGCAGCTGGCACGGGCACCACTTCTTAATCAGCACTCCCTTGAATGAGAGACCCAGACCTGCTCCGGGCATCGTCAAACTGTACAGGCAGCTTTTCTAGATTAACACTCCCTTGAATCAGCACCCCCGACTTGGCAATGTCGCCTGCCATCAGGAAAGGTCATCCAAGCATGCCTCTGGACTGACCCATGCATGCATGGTGAAGCATGCATGCATGCATGAATCCATGGAACTGTACCTCATGCTCCCCATGGTCATGCCCATGTGTGTTGTCAACCCTATTCAGTTCGCATGTTTCAATGCTCGTGCTCGCACTCGTGCCCCCATCGTGAAAACTAGGCTGGCCGCTCGCGCCTGCACATGTTCTCCTAAACCCTAAACCCTCAGCATCTATTCCCGAGGGCTGTGCACTTGCACCCAAGCCATGCAGCGTTGTGTGGCCTGTGGAAAACCCAGGAGTGAGGTGAGCACGGCTGCCACTATACCTAGCCACACTGCCCCACAATCTGCATATAAACAGCTCGCTGCATTTGGTGATCCGGCTGCTGCTGCAGCTGCTGCCCTGGCTGCTGCTGCTGCTGCTGCTGCTGCAGCAGCACTGCTGGTTCGGCTGAAGATACTGTTGGTGCTGTAGGACAAGGTCATAAAGCTGCTCCTGCTGATGATACCGCTGCTGGACCGAATGAAGATGGTGATTCTGCTCTGGCTGCTGCTGCTGCTGCTGCTGCTGCTGCTGCTGCTGCTGCTGCTGCTGCTGCTGCTGCTGCTGCTGCTGCTGCTGCTGCTGCTGCTGCTGCTGCTGCTGCTGCTGCTGCTGCTGCTGCTGCTGCTCCTGCTGCTGCTGCTCCTGCTGCTGCTGCTGCTGCTGCTGCTGCTGCTGCTGCTGCTGCTGCTGCTGCTGCTGCTGCTGCTGCTGCTGCTGCTGCTGCTGCTGCTGCTGCTGCTGCTGCTGCTGCTGCTGCTGCTGCTGCTGCTGCTGCTGCTGCTGCTGCTGCTGCTGCTGCTGCTGCTGCTGCTGCTGCTGCTGCTGCTGCTGCTGCTGCTGCTGCTGCTGCTGCTGCTGCTGCTGCTGCTGCTGCTGCTGCTGCTGCTGCTGCTGCTGCTGCTGCTGCTGCTGCTGCTGCTGCTGCTGCTGCTGCTGCTGCTGCTGCTGCTGCTGCTGCTGCTGCTGCTGCTGCTGCTCCTGCTTCTGCTGCTGCCGCCCCTGCGGCTGTCCCTGCTGCTCCTGCAGATCAAACATAAGATTTTGCTGCTGCTCTGCTGAAGAGGGTGATTTTTCATTGATTGCTGCTGCTGCTGCTGCAGCTCAGACTGAAAAGAGTGCAGCTGGGAAGCAAGCAGTCAAGCACAACTAGATTAGTGTCGCTCACTTTGTGAACAGCTGGCACGGGAACCACCTCCTCCGAGCATGGCAGCACTGTCACTGGGAAGTCCTCTGCTCCCTATACACCACGTCCTCAGTACAGTCAAACACGACAAGATCCGTGTCGTTGGCTTTGTGTGCAGCTGGCATGGGTACCATCTCCGAGTCATCATTCCTTTGAATCAGCACTCCAGACTTGGCAATCTCGTCTGCCATCAGGAAAAGGTCATCCAGGCATGCATCTGGAACGGTCCCATGCATGCATGAGTCCATCGAGTTGTAGCTCATGCTCCCCATGGTCATACCCATGCTGTCAGCCCTATACAGTTGGCAGCTCATGCTCCCAACAGGTATGCCCAGGCTGTCAACCCTACTCAGTTGAAGCATGTCAGTGTGGCTACCCCCATCCTGGACGGTACTAGGCTGTACGCTCGTGCTTGGACTGGTGTGTGCATCTGCGCTCCTAAACCCTCTACCCTCAGAATCTGTTCTCGAGGGCCCTGCACCTGCACCCAAGCCATGCAGAGTTGTGTGACCTGTGGGAAGCCTGGGAACGTGAGTGCGGCTGCCAGTGTAGCCACTACTGCTGCCCCCCGAATCAGCCATATGAACAGCTCGCTGCATTAGCTGATCCGGCTGCTGCTTCTGTTGCTTCTGAGGCTGAAGTTGTTGATGCTGCTGCTGCTGCTGCTGCTGCTGCTGCTGCTGCTGCTCCAACTGTTGTTGAACCTGCTGAAGTGGCTGCTCCAGCTGCTGCCGAACCTGCTGCAGTAGCTGCTCCGGCTGTAGCTGCTGCTGTTGCTGTTGCTGCTGCTGCTGCTGCTGCTGCTGCTGTTGCTGTTGCTGCTGCTGCGGCTGCTGCTGCGGCTGCTGCTGCGGCTGCTGCTGCGGCTGCTGCTGTGGCTGCTGCTTGTGCTGATGGTCCAGCATAAGATGCTGTAGCTGCTCCAGAGAAATATGCTGATTCCACACTGGCTGTTGCTGTTGCTGCTGCTGCTGCTGCTGCTGCTGCTGCTGCTGCTGCTGCTGCTGCTGCGGCTGCTGCGGCTGCTGCTGCTGGTCCATCATAAGTTTCTGTTGCAGCTCCAGAGAAAGATGTTGATTCTGCATTGGCTGCTGCTGCTGCTGCTGCTGTGGCTCAGACTGAAGAGATTGCAGCTGGGACGCAAGCAGGTGCGAGTATTTCAACAAAAGGGCTGCATCCGGTGTAGCACAATCAGTGATTGGCTGGACAGTCCAGGCATCACACGGCTCCCAGGGAACTATACCGCATGCAGCCATGGCAAGGGCATCAGCTGGATCAACTAAGGGGAGGAACTCCTCAGCATCAGGGACACACGTATCTATAAGTGGGATAGTTACACCAGTGGTGGTTACACCAGTGGTGGTTACACCAGTGGTGGTTATGCCAGTGGTGGCTATGCCAGTGGTGGTTATGCCAGTGGTGGCTATGTCAGGGGTGGATATGCCAGGGGTGGTTATGCCAAGGGTGGTTATGCCAGGGGTGGTTATGCCAGTGGTTATTCCAAGGGTGGTTATGCCAGGGGTGGTCATGCTAGTGGTTATGCCAGTGGTGGTTACACCAGTGGTGGTTATGCCAGTGGTGGTTATGCCAGTGGTGGTTATGCCAAGGGTGGTTATGCCAGGGGTGGTCATGCTAGTGGTTATGCCAGTGGTGGTTATGTCAGGGGTGGTTATACCAGTGGTGGTTATGCCAGGGGTGGTTATGCCAGTGGTGGTTATGCCAGGGGTGGTTATGCCAGTGGTGGTTATACCAGTGTTGGTAACGCCAAGGGTGGGAGCAGCCTCTTGGAAAAGAAGGTGCTCAGTGCAGAATAGAAATGGGGGCGCTTGATGCATATGCTGCTGCTGCTGCTGCTGCTGCTGCTGCTGCTGCTGCTGCTGCTGCTGCTGCTGCTGCTGCTGCTGCTGTGTCTGCATCTGCATCTGCGTTTGCTGCTGCTGATGCTGCTGCTTCTGCTTCTTCTTCTGCTGCTGCTGCTGCCACTGTGTCTCCAGCTGCGGCTGCGTCTGCCGCTGCGTCTGCCTCTGCTGGTTTTGAGGCGGCTGCTGGAACAGCTGCTGCTGCTGCTGCTGCTGCTGCGGCTGCTGCTGTGCCTGTGTCTGCTGCTGCATCTCCCTCTGCTCATGCTGCGGTTGTTGCTGCTGCGCCTGCCTCTGCTGCTGCTGCTGCTGCTGCTGCTGCTGCTGCTGCTGCTGCTGCTGCTGCTGCTGCTGCTGCTGCTGCTGCTGCTGCTGCTGCTGCTGCTGCTGCTGCTGCTGCTGCTGCGGCTGCTGCTGCTGTCCATCCACCCGGTGATGCCCGTGCTTTTGCAAGCAGATGCACCTATTTATCCGAGTTTGCCCGTCACCGCCTGTGATTGCTGAGGCATCAACAAGCATGGGGCGTGCTTGCTCTGTTTGAGTGTACGTTATGTTGCCCACTGGAACAAATGAAGGCTGGGGAGCGTTCGGCGCTTCAGAAGCTAAGCGGGGAAAGTGTGCAGGATCGAGCAACGGAGGAAATGGGGATGGAGGAGGAGGTGTGGTGTACCGAGAAGGGGGGCAGGAGAATGGACCCTGATTAAAGGGCAGATTCAGAGCGCTGAATGATTGACTATTAAAATCTGATGAAGGGGAAGCTAAATTGCTGGGAACTGAGGGTGGATACCTGGCTACAGGCGACACGCAGACTGTAGCAGGAAGTTGGCTCATAGCTGGAGTGAAGGTCGCAGCAGGAAGGGAGATTGTATCGGGAGTGCGAGAGCAGGGTGTGGCAGGAGCAGAAAGGGAAGTAGGGGCGCAGAATGCAGCAGGAGCTGAAAAGGTAGCAGGAGTGCGCGTTGTAACGAGAGCGGACAATGTAGCAGGAGCACAGGTTGTAGTGCGAGCGGAAAATGCAGCAGGAGCATGGGTTGTAGCGGCAAAAGTAGGAGCGCAGGTTGTTGCGGCAAAAGTAGCAGGAGCGGAGGTTGTAGCGGCAAAGGTAGCAGGAGCGGAGGTTGTAGCGGCAAAGGTAGCAGGAGCGGAGGTTGTAGCGGCAAAAGTAGCAGGAGCGGAGGTTGTAGCGGCAAAGGTAGCAGGAGCGCGGGTTGTAGCGCGAGCAGAAAAAGCAGCAAAATCGCAGGTTGTAGCGGCAAAAGTAGCAGGAGTGCAGGTTGTAGTGCGAGCGGAAAATGTAGGAGGAGCGCAGGTTGTAGTGGGAGAAAAGGATGCAAGAGCACAGTCTGTAGTGGCAGAAAAGGGTGAAGGAACAGATGATGTAGTGGGAAAAATGGATGCATTGGCAGAGACAGGAGTGAAGGATGCAGGAGCAGATGATACAGTGGGAGGAATGGATGCAGGAGCTGATGTGGTGGGAGAGATGGATGCAGAGGCAGAGGCAGAAGTGGGAGTAAAGGATTCCAGAGCAGGCCGTGCTGAATGAGGGGTGGGTAATGCAGCAGGAGGACCCTGTGTTGCTGGAGCGAGAGATGTAGCGGGGTACCAGGTTACTACAGCGGCAGGGCTGGAGGAAGAGACACCAACCAAGCTCGTTCGAGAAACGTCGGGAAGTGGCGGCGGGTGGTTATGTGAGCCCTGGTATACTGTCCTCACCACCACACGCATCTCAGTCCTTGGGATCTCCACACTGTCTGTCAGCTCGTTGTCTTCTAGGCTACTATCCACAGTAGCCGCTGCAGCATCCGCAGTGGGGCTGGACCCTCTTGAAACAGCAGCGCCGTCTCTGAATGTAGCTTTCGAGCTAGCTGCACCGCCCTGATGCCTTGGCCCGGGGATGGTGTTTGAGCGGCGATGCCTCGCCGCTCCAGCCACGCGGTCTTCTATCTTCTTTGCGGTGCAGCCTGTTGTTTCCTTGGATGCGCACACGAAGTACAGCCTGCAAGACTCAGTGAGAAATAACAGCAGCAGCTTATTAAGCACAAGCGCCAAGTCTTGATTGACTTGTAAACCTCTAAAAGGAGGGATTTGGAACAAAATGTCACAGGCCCACAAAATGTTTCACAGGGTAGATCTGACACAATCACGCTGACTATCTCTATTCTGAAGCAGTTTTTTCTTTTCATACCCAGTGAGTATGCAAGAAATATCATGGTGGACAATAGGCGAGTCGCCTTTTTAACGACAGCGACATCAGGGTGTTGCATGAGACTTCAGCTTTGTTCGGAAAGGGTGGCAAGATGATTGCAACCTCACCTTTTCATTTGTAGGCCCACAATGCGCTTGTGTGATGTCTTTTTCCATTTGTACTCTTCAGGTGGCAAGTGTTGCACCTGATTCGTTGTGTGATGCGTCTGAAACTGCGTCTGCGGCGCATTTGGCGTGTGTTGCACCATTTGAGTCAAGCCCATCGTCGCTGATGGTAACTCAGCATTAGCATCATGCTGATTCTGAATATAATGATGTGTCTCTGAACTTGATCCTGAAGCTGAAACCCTGAGTGTAGCAGGCTGGGGCCACCGCGGCATCGGACAGATCATATTGCCGTGCTGATGTTGTTGTTGCTGCTGCTGATGATGCTGGTGCTGCGGCTGATGCTGCTGGTTCTGCTGCTGTTGCTCTTGCATCTCGTGTTGGCCGCTTGCACGGACAGTTTCCGGCGGATCATGCTCCACGCTGTCAATGCTTGTAGCTCGCTGATCCGTCGAACTCATGCTCTGATCCGTTTTCTCTGCCGAGGATTCCAAAACAAGAGTCGTGTTGAGTCTGGCTGAAATAGACTCCATTCGAAAGGCCTAGGCCTGCCAGATCCAGATTGTGTGTTGAACGCCACTGAGCAAGTTTCTATCAGAATTGGCGATGATGAAATCGTTGCGGCTGAGACTACTGCTACGAAAATGACTGATGTTAGAGTCGAAATGACTGCTTAGTAAGCACGTGGAGCACTTCATCGGAAACGTTTGCATCGACAAATGTGGCGCCGCCTTGCTTTTGGTCCAGTGACATGTTGTGGAGCGGCAGCATGGTGTCAGGCATACTATGCCTGGATGTGGTCAGCCAGGCGTATGGAGGAAGGGGAGGGGAGGGGGTTGGGTTGATGGGGTGGGGAGGGTTGTGGGGGTTTTTACAGGGGATAACTCTCGGCGCAAATTAGCGATGTCAGTGAAGTCGAGGAGGGCATGCCATCTTTCATAACCATACCTAAAAGATGGCGTTGACAGGAAGTTCCCACAGTAAAAGTTCCCCCAAGTGCCCGAAAAGTGCAGATATTCGGGTCCAGCGTGGCAGTTCTGCAAATGACCATACCATATCCATATGACTGTGGATACAGCCTGTTTCGCGTCTGTAGAGCATCTGTTTGCATGTTGTAGAGCGTCACCACGTTCAGAATGGTCTTGTCCCCCTGTACAAGCACAATGTGAAAAATACGGTTAGTTGAGGTGATGAACTCTACAAACAGCTTTGTCAACGTTTTCTTTGGGTTGAGAAGGGTATTCAGCGATTACGGATTTTTTTTCGCCCTTGAGCCAGTTTCTCACGTGGTTCGGTTTTCCCCCCCAGGTTGCTAGGAATGTTTAATGGCATCAGATCGCAAGAGACAAGTACTGTAGCGACGATTCGCGCAAGGTGAGAAGGTTGAGATAAAGGGTGTACACAGATAGACGAGTTTGAGCGATAGAACAAAACCAATCAGGTGCAATTTCAAGATTGCTCTGAAAAAATATGCAAGTTGGGGGAAAACGAGGGCGATTGGGGGAAGGGGGTTTCGCGTCACGATAAAATTGTCAACTGTCAATTGAGACGTATGAAACGTTTCTTTATGTCACTGTTCTTCAAGAACAAAATGTTCGAGGCACACAAGAGGTTTGGAAAATCTCATGCTTCGTTGTTTTCTTTCAGCCACGTCTGCTCGACAGCACGTGTTTCTGTTATTAAACCACAGTTCAGGCCAGCCGAGAAGGTCATACAGTACACGAAATCAATTGGCTTTCACGAACCCGAAACATTTGTCTCATTGCGGAAGTTTATGCACTTGGGCAATTGAATGCTTCGAAATCTACTCCAAAAGTGAGGGTATGTCCCAACCCAAGCGTTCGTAGTTGCACAAAACCGGTCCCACCAGTGTAGAAAAAGAATTGACCGTTGAAATGGCAAAGCATTTCATTGAGCCGCATTCGGACGAACACGTGCGTGGGCCATTTCATGTGAGCAAGCAAATGCCATCTCCCCGAAGGGACCTCTCCACTTGATGCCAAATTCAGACCCCGTTTGTTTTCCGGGTGGTTTCTCCAGAGTCCTGCAGCATTTTATGGGCAAATTCGACCTTTACAGGGTAGCTGGGTGACCTGATGTCGGAACTTAGGGTTTCCTTGGTTTCCCGTGCTCTCCCTCTTGTTTGTGGGGCTGCAACCAGTTTGCAGCAAGCGCGAAAAGTGCTTGTCAAGCACAAAAAGTGCTTGTCAAGCACGAAAAGTGCTTGTCAGGCACGTACACTTGAAGCACGCATAAACACACACAGTATTACAAGCAACACCACGTATGGGCAAATTCTCGACAGTCACAACAGCAGCACACATTTTACCCTGACACAACAGCAGCACACATTCTACTCATGTCTCCCATCAACAAACTAAAAGCCAACCCTGGTAATATTTAATTTCACGCCCTTAAAGGGTTTCCAGAAGACACTAAATCATTCTTGTATGTCAAACCCCTGACGATAAGGGCAACGAATGATGATAATGTGTAAATGCTGAAAATTCATTCACATTTATTTTTGAAAACTTTATCCACTCACATGAGCCTGATTCTTTTTTACACTAATCTTTGCGTTCCCCTTCTTGAGTGAGCCAGAAACAGTAGGTTGAATCAAATAAAATGCCTTATGTAAATCAGTA